GATATCAAAAAAGTACTCCAGAGTGTTGTTCAGCATGGGGGTGAGTAGAAAATGAAGGCTAATCATGTTTTGGGTGTACTATTCCTTTAAGGTAAATACACTTGTTTGAAGGCATTTTTACTAATTTTCAGAACGTTTTTGCAGTGTAGAGCTTTGGATGATCTAGATGAATTTAGCAGAAATGTTTAGAGTTACGGTTGTTTAAAAAAAAAGTAAAAACATAATGGAAGCAGAAGAAATTGTGACACTAGTTTTTGTTTTGTTTTTTTACACTAAATGCATGTACTAAATTATGATATTTTACAGCTGCAGTAAAATATAAATTTATTTGATGTCTTTATTCACATCTTTGTTAGTAATAAAAAAAGCCGTGTTCACACTGACGGGTCGGTTTCTCTGGACTCAGGTGGCCGTGTTGCTGATGGACACGCAGGGAACATTTGACAGCCAATCCACGCTCAGGGATTCCGCCACCGTGTTCGCCCTGAGCACCATGATCAGCTCCATGCAGGTACAACACTTTTAATCCCAGAAGAAAAATAAATATATATTTGTTTGTTTTGACACAACCGTATATCATGACTGTAAGGAAACTCTTTGGTTTAGGTTTACAACATTTCCCAGAATGTACAGGAGGATGACCTCCAACACTTGCAGGTAAAAGTCAAGGCTACATATTTTCTTTCTAATGTAAAGTTAGTGTTTCTGAATATTTGCAGGATTTTTCACTATGTGATGTCACTTATTTCAGCTTTTCACGGAGTACGGAAGGCTAGCGATGGAGGAAACTTTCCTAAAACCTTTCCAGGTACTGGAGGCGTTTGTGTCACTTTTTTTCCGATTAAATGCAGTTTGAAAACAAATGTTCTCTTTACTAAATATCTTTAAACACTGAATTATCATTTTAAACAATAAGTTGAGGCTCTGCCTGTGAGGAAGATGTCATGTCTTATCTGCTGTGCTCGATGGTGCATTTTCTCTCCTAGTCCCTGATTTTCCTGGTCCGAGACTGGAGCTTTCCATACGAGTTTCCCTACGGACAGGAGGGGGGGATAAAGTTTCTAGAGAAAAGACTGAAGGTCAGTGAGGGCTGAATTTAACCCGAGTATTTAATGCTGGTGGATCTTTCTGTCCTGCAAACCTGCAGGAGAATGAAAACAAGTTAGAATGTCAGCATAAGGTTCAATAATTCAGTTATTTAATAAAACATACATGCAGATTATAGCATGAAGCTAATAGATGTATAAATAACTGCTAAAAAAAGTTATGTAACCAAGCCTGTTAACGGAAAGTTAAGTGGAAGGAAAAAGTTTGCTGAAAAAGTGCATAAGAAACAAGAGATTTTGAAGCACAGCCTCATTCAAAAGTAAAGCAGATTTACCAGAGTGTGTTTAGCAGCTGGAGTCGGAGCTTCTACAGCACCACAGGAAGACCCGTCCAGGTCAGAGGCTACGACTGATGGGGCGCTTCTGAACCAGAGGACACATCAGATGGCTCTCAGCTGGGCTACAGAGGAAAAGAAGCAGATAATGTCACATTAGCTGGACACCAATCTGACGTTTCTGCAGTCAGTGATGATGTGGACGTCCTGGTTTATCCATGGTTGTTTACTCCACAGTCAGTGCAGGTGTCTCCCAGGATGTCAGGATATTTTGTTCTTCCTCTATGCTGTCAAGGACTTGGTTCTTTAGAGTGGAAAAAGAACAAATACCTGCTTTAATAAGAGCCTGTATGTAAAAATGTAAAGCAGTGGGCTGCCATGGCGTGGCGCTC